CCACTACCAGACCCCAAAAAAAAAAAAGAAGGGTGATGCTGGTGGCTCATACCTGTAATCCTAGTTACTCAGGTTGAGATCTGAGAAACACTGTTTAAAGCCACCCTAGACAGGAAAATCTGGGAGATTCTTTTCGCCAACTAAGCACCAAAAAAGCTAGAACTGGAGCTGTGTTAGAGTGTTAGCCTTGAGTACAAAAGCTCAGAGACAGCACCCAGGCCAAGTATGTATGGGGATAGTGGTATATGTCTTAACATGATTGTAAAGAAAAATTAGACTGGGGGCCAGTGGCTCACACCTATAATCCTAGCTCCTCAGGAGACTAAGCTCTGAGAATTGAGGTTTAAAGCCAGACCAACCAGGAATGTTTGTGAGACCTCTAATTTATCACCAAAAAGCCAAAAGTGTAGCTAGCTAAGGCTCAAATGATAGAATGTTAGCCCTGAGGAAAAAAACAAAAGCTCAGGGACAGTGCCCAAACTTTGAGTTCCAGCCTCAGTACTGGTACCAAAAAAAAAAAAAAAAAAAAAAGCAGCAGCAATCAGGTGGCTCATACGTGTAATCCTAGCTACTCAGGAGGCTGAAATCTGAGGATCGTGGTTCAAAGCCAGCTGAGGCAGGAAAGTCTGAGAAACTTGTACCTCTAATTAACTACCAGAGAACTGGAAGTGCAGCTGTGACTCAAAGTGGTAGAGTGCTATCCTTGAGTAAAAACTCCAGGACAGTGTCCAGGCCCTGACCCAATGACCGGCCAGGCCCAAGCCCTATAATTGACAAAAAATAAAAAAAAAGAGAGAGGAAATATTTTTTAGTGATACCTGCAATCAAAGATAGGATGTGTAGTGAAGCCCTGGAATGAGGAATTGGACTATCACCAAGCAACAAGACAGTTGGTCTGGAAACACATGCCAGGGGACTACCCTCCCTACTGGTTCCTTTTATTTTTTGGGGGGGGTCCGGTCATGGGGCCTGAACTCTAGGCCTGGGCGCTGTCCCTCAGCTCTTCAGCTCAAGGCTAGCGCTCTACCACTTGAGCCACAGCGCCACTTCTGGCTTTTTTCTTTTTGCTTATGTGGTGCTGAGGAATCAAACCCAGGGCCTCAGGCATGCAAGGCATGTGCTCTACCACTGAACCACCTTCCCAGCCCCCCTACTGGTTCCTTTGTTCTTGCTCTGTAGGCCAATTTTTCTGTGCACACTGAGCAGGGTAGCCATCCTTAGCTGTGTCACACAGTCTCAGTCAGGTGACCTGGTATGGGGAGACAGGTATTTCACTGTTGTGATTCCTACTTCCTAGAGAGAATGTATTCCCCAACAAAGGTCAAGTATCTCCCCATCTAGAAGGCTCCATATAGTTCTGCTCCTGAAGGCCCACCATCACAGGGTGAGGTTAAAGAAGGCTCAGGGATAGCTGAAGGGGCAGGAAAGGGATTAAGACGCTGCTCAACTCATAGCTAGGCACATACCTGTCATCATAGCTGAGATTGGGAGGATCAAGGTGCCAGGCCAGAAAGGTCAACAAGGCTCTATCTCTATGGAGGGAAGCTGGGTAAGTTGCCACAAGATCTATTATCCTAGTAATGATGGGAAGCCTAAAAGCCCAGTACCGTAGGAGGCAGGAAGGAGGCTAAGGGAATTGAGCAACGTGATACACAACTGCAATTCCAGCATGTTGGAGGCTTAGGCAGAAGGATCACAAGTTGCAGGCCAACCTGAGCCTACAGATTGAGACCCTGTCTGAACCAGACAAAAAGTAAAACTAAAGGCTCAGGTATGAGCCATGGCAAAGCTGAGAGATTGTACCTATAATACCCGTAGTCCATAATCACCTGGTAGTTCCTAAAGTTATGATATATGAACAGTGAACCTGTGCCTATAAAAACACAAGTTGTAGGGGCTAGGAAGGTGGCTCAGTGGTAGAGCACTTGCCTTGCACGCACGAGGCCCTGGGTTCGATTCCTCAGCACCACATAAGCAGAAAAAGCCGGAAGTGGCGCTGTGGCTCCAGTGGTAGAGTGCTCGCCTTGAGCTGAAGAGCTGAGGGACAGCGCCCAGGCCCAGAGTTCAGGCCCCATGACCAGCAAAAAAAACCCAAAAAACAAAAAACACAAGTTGTAAATGAGGGAACAGTAGGAGAGAAATAAAAAAAACACACACAAATGGTATTCTATATTTCTAAGGTTGAGAGGGATACTGTACCCTCAAAAAAGATTCAGTAGAGTAAAAAGAATTGTTCACTAAAGCCTCATTGAGCTATTGTCTTATATCAATACATGCTTTAGAAAAACGTTGGATTTTCTTTCTCTTTTTCTTCAAGACCCAAATCATAGGTCTTGAACTCTGGGCCTGGGTGCTGTCCCTAAGCTCTTCAGCTCAAGGTTAGCACTCTACCACTTGAGCCACAATGCCACTTTCAATTTTCTGGTGGTTAATTGTAAATAAGAGTCTCACGGACTTTTTTGCCTGGGCTGGCTTTGAACTGTGATCCTCAGATCCCAGCCTCCTGAGTAGCTATGATTACAGGCTTGAGCCACCACTGCCCAGCCTTTTCTTTTCTTTTCTTTTTTTCTTTTTTGATCAGTTGTGGGGCCTGAAATTGGCCTGGGTGCTGTCCCCAGCTCTTCAGCTCAAGGTGAGCACTCTACCACTTGCCACAGTGCCACTTCCAGTTTTCTGATGGTTAACTGGAGATAAGAGTCTCATGGACTTTCCTGCTTGGGCTGACTTTGAACCGTGGATCCTTAGATGTCAGCCTCCTGAGTAGCTATGAATACAGATATGAGCCACCAGTGCCTGGCTATTTTTATTTTTATGCCAGGATGTTGGACTCAGGGCCTGGTTATTGTCCCTGAGCTGCTTTTTTTTTTTTCTTCTTCTTCTTTTGTTTTTGTCAGTAGTGGGACTTGAACTTAGAACCTGGGCACTGTCCCTGAGCCTCTTGTACTCAACACTTGAATCACTTCTGGCTGTTTTTTTGGTCCATCATGGGGCTTGAACTCTGGACCTGGGCGCTATCCCTCAGCTCTTCAGCTCAAGGCTAGCACTGTACCCCTTGAGCACAGTACCACTTCTGACCTTTTCTGCTTATGTGATGCTGAGGAATCGAACCCAGAGCCTCATGCATACAAGGCAAGCACTTTACCACTGAGCCAACTCCCAGCCCTTACCCTGAAATTTTTTGATAGATGTAAAAGCTGAAGGCTGTGCCGGGCGCTGGTGGCTCACGCCTGTAATCCTAGCTACTCAGGAGGCTGAGATCTGAGGATCGCGGTTCAAAGCCAGCCCGGGCAGGAGAGACCGTGAGACTCCTATCTCCAATAAACCAGAAAACCGGAAGTGGCGCTGTAGCTCAAGTGGTAGAGCGCTCACCTTGAGCTGAAGAGCTGAGGGACAGCGCCCAGGCCCAGAGTTCAAGCCCCACGACTGACAAAAAAAAAAAAAAAAGCTGAAGGCTGTTTATGCTTTGTAAACCTGTCAGTGGATTTCCATTCTCCCTACTGTCTTTTCCCCAGGTGTGTGGGAATGCCCTCATGAAGCAATACCAGGTCCAGTTCTGGAAGATGATACTTCTCATTAAGGAGGACTACTTCCCCAGGTATCAGGCTTATTGAGCAGATCTCAGGGATTTGGTAGGTAAAATTAGGAGTCAGGTGTGAGACACTCTGGACTGCTATTGCATGCTGTTTCCAGCTTAGATTGAAAATGTCTATGTGGGCTAGAGGCCTAGCTCAGCCATAATGTTGCCTAGCATGTATAAAGCCAAGTCCATCCTCAGCACTGCAAAAGAAATGAAAAAAATAAAGCCTATGTAAAGGATGACCTCTTCCTACTCCTATGCTTATCTGTGAATTTTGAGTAAATACTTTTGAACTAATGAGAATCTTTTAAATATTGTTTGTTGACTATATAAAAACATAAATCAGGAAGATACTGGATTAAGATGGCATTGGGCTGGGGGTGTTAAAACACTTACTTAGCTTCTGATACTAGGTGTTTGTGCCTAGCAACAAAACAAAATCTGGCAGGTTTTTTGTTTGGTTGGTTGGTTTTGTCAGTCGTGGGACTTAACTCTGGGCCTGGGTACTGTCCCTGAGCTCTTCAGCTCAAGGCTAGCACTCTGCCACTTGAGCTATAGTGCCACTTCCAGTTCTGTGGTGGTTAATTGGAGATGAGTCTCATGGAGCCAGCTGGGCACTGGTGGCTCACTCCTATAATCTTGGCTACTCAGGAGGCTGAGATCTGAGGATTGGGGTTCAAAGCCAGCCTTGGCAGGAAAGTCCATGATACTCTTATCTCCCATTAATGACCAGAAAACTGGAAGTGGCGCTGTGGCTCAAGTGGTAGAGTGCTAGCCTTGAGCTGAAGAACTGAGGGAAGCACCCAGGCCTAAAGTTCAAGCCCCACAACTGACGGGAAAAAAAAAGAAGTCTAAACAGACTTGCTTGCTCAGGCTGCCTTTGAACCGTGATCCTCACATCTCAATCTCCTGAGTAGCTAGGATTACAGGCTTGAGCCCCTGGCGCCCAGCCAGTTTTTTTAGTTTTTTAACTATTCTTTTCCAAACCCCCAAATAATCTTGGATGGTGATTACCTGTACTCATGAATTAAACCAAAGAATCAACATTCATAAAATGAGATGGACAAACTTATTTATCCACCAGTTTGACTCTGGTGTAGAACCACCTTGAAGTTGCCTTCTCTTTCTTCTCAACTCATTGGCATTTCAAGTAGGGGACAGTCTTCATAAAACCCATCCCACCTGCTTAGAAAGACTTCAGAAAGGAGTAATGCTCTCCTCTCCTCTCCTTTGTCGCTGTTTGAATAAGCACTAGCACCCTTAGACTAGAAGACATGACTGTGAGATCAACACCTCTCCAAAAGATAGATTTGTGTCACAAGTGGGATTCATGTGTCTTCTTTCTCTCCCTATAGAATTGAAGCCATCACAAGTTCAGGACAGATGGGTTCTTTTATACGTCTGAAGCAGTTCTTGGAGGTAAGATGTCCTTATCTTCGTAAGTCCCAAACTATTGTCCTGGAATAACTTGTGTTTTTATAAGTCTGGAGAGAATCAGTGATCTCTGAAAGAGAAAGAGAGAGAGAGAGTTTGGGACCCCAGCTTTGAATTTAGGGCCTCATGCTTTCCTTTGAACTTTTTGCTCAGGGTTGGTGCTATTCCACTTGAGCCACACTTCCACTTTAGCTTGTTTGCTAGTTATTTGGAGATGAGAGTCTCATGGACTTTCTTCCCTAGGCTGGCTTTGAACCAGAATCTTTAGGTCTCAGCTTCTTGAGTAACTAGGATTACAGGCATGATCCACCAATTCCTTACTTCTTCTCTTTGGTTTTTGACCAAAAAAAAAAAAAAGAATCTCAAAGAAGCCAGGCACAGTTTATATCCAGTCAAAAACAGGGAAGGGGCCAGGTACCCAGTGGCTCACACCTATGGCTCATACCTGTAATCCTAGCGACTCAGGAGACTGAAAAGTCACCTTGAGATTCTTATCCCCAATTAACTACCAGAAAATTGGAAGTACCACCATGGCCCAAAGTGGTAGAGTGCTAACCTTGAGCAAAAGAGCTCAGGGACAGCGCCCAGGCCGAATTCAAGCCCCATGACTGACCAAAAAAAAAAAAATTTCTTGCCCAGTCTGGCTTCAAACCACATTCCTCAGATTTCAGCCTCCTGAGTAACTAGGATTACAGTCATGGGGAACCAGCACCTGGCTTTCTTTTATTTATTTATTTAAAAAAAAAATTTTTTTTTTGGGTCCGGTCGTGGGGCCTGAACTCTGGGCCTGGGTGCTGTCCCTCAGCTCTTCAGCTCAAGGCTAGCACTCTCCACTTGAGCCACAGCGCCACTTCCGCTTTTTTCTTTTTGCTTGTGTGGTGTTGAGGAATCGAACCCAGGGCCTCAAGCATGCAAGGCAAGCGCTCTACCACTGAGCCACCTTCCCAGCCCTCTTTTATTTTATGAAGCCTTGCTTTTTCCTGGAATTCCTCCTTGCTGCTGCTCCCCCGCCCCCCGCCCCCCACTGCCTTTTTTTTTGGGGGGGGGGGGTTAGTCATGGGGCTTGAACTCTGGGCCTGGGTGCTGTCCCTCAGCTCTTCAGCTCAAGGCTAGTACTCTACCACTTAAGCCACAGCACCACTTCTGGCTTTTTCTGTTTATGTGGTGCTGAGGGTTCAAACCCAGGCCTCATGCATGCAAAGCAAGCACTCTACTACTGAGCCACCTTCCCAGCCCAGTTTCAGCTTCTAAGAGCCCAGTTAGGGGCCAGTGGCTCATGCCTGTAATTCTAGCTACTTAGAGGCTGAGATGTAAGGACCACAATACAAAGCAAACACGTGAGAGAAAGCCAGAAATGGAGGTGTGGCTCAAGTGGTAGAGCACTATCTTTGAGCAAAAAAAGCTCAGGGATAGCACCCAGACCCTCAATTTAAACCCTAGGACTTGGCATAAGAGAAAGAAAAAAAGCCCAATTGGGAACATGGTACCTGTGACAGGTCAGGATAAGCTGGGGGACAGACATCATAACAGCACCTCATTTGTTCTAATCTTACACCGATCCAGCAGAGGTATCTATGGGCTTTTTCCTTTCTTTATTTTGCTGTTCCCCAGGACTTGAATTTGCTGTTCCTTCTTTTTTTCTACCTGATAATGTGTTAGAAACAATTCTGTTAGAAACTCATTTTTCATCTCTCCCTGACCAGAAATGTTTGCAGCGCAAGGAGATTCCTGTCCCCAAGGGCTTTCTGACTTCCTCCTTCTGGCGCTCCTGACGTCATTTGTCACCTGTCGTCACCATTAGGTTGCAGAGAGGCAATAATAAAGCAACTGAAGACAGCTGTATTTGGAAGAAGTCATGTCAGATTTAGAATTTTATTTAGTGTGTTTTTATATCTGTACTATGTAACTAGGAGAAGAGGTTTGCATGGGTCACAAAATCTTGGCTGTATCTTAGCAGATTCATTAACTGCTGAAGGTGTCCACATGATTGAGTAAATAGAACTGGACTTTCTTATTTTTGCAGATGTTCTCCGGAGAGGTTCTAGCTGTTGATGAACTTTGTCTCTATTATCTTTTCCTTGGTGTTTCAGAAAGTTGGTGATACCTTAGCCATTTCTCTATGAGCTGGACTAAGCCTACCATTTTCACCCCTCTCCCTTCACCTCACTCCTGCTCAGATGAATTCCCAAAACAAGAAAGACCCATAAGATTCCCTTTAAAGTATCTTGTAAAGCCAGGGACCACTGGCTCATGCCTGTAATCCTAGCTACTCAGGAAGCTGATCTGAGCATAGAAGTTTGAAGCTAACCTGGGCAGAAAAGTCTATGAGACTCTTATTTCCAATTAACTGCCAGTGAGCTGGAAATGGCACTGTTACTCCAAGTGGTAGACTAGCCTTGAGCGAAAGAAGCTCAGGGACAGCACCCAGGCCATGAGTTGAAGCCCCAGGACTTACCAAAAAAAATCATGTTATGAAGGCCAGACATGAGTAGCTGACACCTGTAATCCTAGCTACCAGGAGTCTGAGATCTGAGGATCCCAGTTTAAATCCAGCTGGGCAGGAAAGTCCAGGAGACTTTTATCTCCCAATTAACCCACTATGGCTCAAGTGGTAGAGCACTAGCCTTAAGCAAAAAGGCTAAGAGACAGTGCCCAGGCTCTGTGTTAAAATCCCAGTATTGGCACAAGAAATAAAGTAAAATTAAGTTAAATAAATTTTAAAAATATAATGGTTGAGACCAGTCATACTTATGAATTAATTCTAAGTGCATGGACTGAGTCCCCAAGAATAGCAGAGTAGCAGGGAGCTTGTGTTAGGTCTGGCAACATTGAACTATGGAGGAGTCTTTGTCCTCTGAATCTGGAATTCTGTCCCTGAAAAGATATTGATGTGTGCATTGGAGTAGGTGCTGGTGGTGGTACATATTTGTCATCCCAGAATTCAGGAAGCTGAGACAGGAGGCTCAGATATTGAAGGCCAGCCTTGGCTACATTCCAGGCCAGTTTCAAAAACATAGCAAGGCCCTGTCTTAAAAACCCAGTAATACCAAGAAACTCAAGATGGCTGTGCTGTGGCCTGCAGTGTTATTCATGAGCTGAGCGTGCATAATGAGGATGCACCAGAGATGCACAGGAGGAATTGAAAAGTGGTTTGTTTATACTTTCTTACATGTTCTCAGAAATGAATGATGATGAATTTGGCTAATGCCACTGCAGAACTCCAAAGCTTGTCTGTTCAGATAAAAATTGAGATTTGTGGGCTGGGAAGGTGGCTCAGTGGTAGAGTGCTTGCCTTGCATGCATAAGGCACTGGGTTTGATTCCTCAGCGCCACATAAGCAGAAAAAGCCGGAAGTGGTGCTTGGCTCAAGTGGTAGAGCGCTAGCCTTGAGCTGAAGAGCTGAGGGACAGCGCCCAGGCCCAGAGTTCAGGCCCCGCGACTGACAAAAATAAATAAATTGAGATTTGTTCTATGGGAAGACTGATTCTCCTTTATACTGCAGAGGCAATGGTCCGAGCTCTGTTCCTGTATACTAAATGCTTTGAAGCTGGCGGCGGGAGGTGGGGAAATGGGGGTTCACTGGTATGAGTGGCCTGAAACAATCCATTCTGTGAATTGTTGAGTATCATGTCAAAAATAAAGTAATAAAGCTTCATTGAAAAAAAAATAAAGCTCGCGGATGTGTAGTTGATTCATTACGATCAGTTTCTTGTACCCTCATCTATATTAGTTGTTAGAGCTATGATAATAGACAAATCTTCCTTTTTGGATTTAGCCTTCACTTCTATCATTCCTTTTTGTGATTACCAATAATTGACTTTTGTCTAACAACAGATGTAAGAGACTGGGGTATAGCTTGGTGATAGATCCCTTGCCTAGCATAGTGATCCTGAGTTTGATCCCCAGTACCCTCACCCCTGCAACAAAGAAGTGAAAGGGATTAAAGTCTGCTGCTGCTATCAACACAATGGAGTAGACAGGGGACTTGTCAGGAGACCTAGTTCCATTTGCTTTTCCATCTGTGTGGTCTGGGTGGGCCATTTACCCTCTCTGAACCTCATTATTCCCACCTACAGCTTTCTTTTCTTTTTTCTTTTTTTTTTTCTTGGTCGTTCGTGGGGCTTGATCTCTGGGTCTGGGCGCTGTCCCTCAGCTCTTCAGCTCAAGGCTAGCGCTCTGCTACTTGAGCTACAGCGCCACTTCCGGTTTTCTATTGGTTTATTGGAGATAAGAGTTTCATGGACTTTCCTGCCCAAGCTGGTTTTGAACCCTGATCCTCATATCTCAGCCTCCTGAGTAGCTAGGATTACAGGTGTGAGCCACCAGCACCCGACCTACTACAGCTTTCAAATGGAGTGTGTAGTCATTCCTCAAGGCAGAGTTTCCTCGCTGGGGTGTCTTGGTGCTCCAAAGCCCTATGGGGGAGCTCAACAGGGCCTGCAATGAATGCATCCTCAGGTCATCATTTTCCACATGTCATAGCAGAGGCAGAGTGGCAATCTGACTTCAGGACAAGAGGGGTATTGAGTGGATGAGTCTGTCGGTAGATAAAAGTTTGTGCATATTTCAAAAAGGCATCCCTTCCTTTCTGATTCTAGTACTCTACTGGAAAACTGACCTATTAATAGCTGAAAAATATGGTACCAGCAGGTTTATGGTGCCCACCGGAGTCATAGAACTTACCTTGTACAAAACCATTAAACTGGAATCCTGCCAGGTGCTGGTGGCTCACACCTACAATATTAGATAATCAGGAAGCTGAGATCTGAGGATCAAGGTTCAAAGCTAGCTCAGGCAGGAAAGTCTGTGAGACTCCAGTTAACCACCAGAAAAGTAGCGCGGTGGCTCAAAGTACTAGAGTGCTAAGCTTGAGCAAAATGCTCAGTGACAGTGCCCAGGCCCTGAGTTCCAAGCCCCAGGACCAGCACAAAATATAAATAAAAATAAAAAGGTAATGTCAAGCATAGTGGTACATGGCTATAATCTCAGTATTTAGAAGGCAGTATGAGATTAAAACCAATTTGGGTTATAGAGCAAATTCCAGGCCAGCCTTCATTATATAATGAGGTTTTTTGTCTTGAAAAAGCTAAATAAAATGTAAAAGCAAGTGGGGTGATATGCATGGATAGTACCAGCTATTTGAGAGGCTGAGAAGACAGGGTTGCTTGAGCTAGGAGTATGGGTTGATGTCTGGCAACATAAGACCCCCATATATTTTTTACTATTATTTCTGGGGGTTTTGTTGTTTTCCCATCATGGGGCTTGAACTCTGGCCTAGGTGCTATAACTAACAGCTCTTTCCTTTTTGCTCAAGGCTAGTGAGTGCCCTACCACTTTGAGCCACAGCTCTACTTCCAGTTTTCTGCTGGTTTATTGGAGATAAGAGTCTCATGGACTTTCCTGCCAGGCTAACTTTGAACTTCGATCCTCAGATCTCATCCTCCTGAGTAGTTAGGATTACAGGCTTGAGCCACCAGGGCCCAGCCGTTGCTGCTGGTTTTGTTTTGAGTCAGACTTACCCCCAAGCTGTCCTCAAACTTCCAATCTTTCTGCCTTACCCTTCTGAATGCTGGACTTGTAGGAGTTGGCTATCATTAGAGTCTATCATTTTCAATTTTTACCACTCCAGTATTTTAATAATCTTCCTCTAGATGCGGTGACCACTCTTGCATTTGTTTTTTGATGCTGATATTCCTGATGGAGTCTCAAAGGTACACCAAGAAAGAAGAGCATTAGGCAGCTAGGTTTTTGATACCCACTGATAGTGTCGCCTCAGAGATCATGATCGCCAGCTGGTAGATGTAGCACTATAGTGGCATCAGATTCCTGCCCAAAGAATGCTAAGGGCTGTATTTACTTCAACTCAAGTACTCATTTGTCCACTTGCTTCTCATCCAGCTTGACCTCATTTTTCAGGCAGAGTGCCCACATTCTTGTCATATCACTGTCCTCAAAAAATTCCAATAGAAGAAAAAAAATTCCAATAGAAGAGAACCTCTGCACATCCATTGTATAGAAGAATGGGGTTGCTCTGGTCATTTCCCATTGGATGCTGGGAGCTTTTCCCTCCTCAAGCTTCCTCTTGTGACAGCAGTGATCTAAGTAGCTTTACACATTTTTTTTTCATCCCCAAAAAGCACTTTAAACCCCGAGCTTCCTACAGGTCCATGTGACACATCGCCATTCCCTTCCCTTCTTTTCCTCCATCTAATAAATTTGCTGTGTACCTACAGAAAGCAAGTGAGAGCTGCGTGCTTGCTATACGATACATTTATAAAAGTGCTGAACATGAACTGAGGGAAAATGAAGGCAAGGGTGACATTGTCCAAAAAAAGCAATGTACTCATTACCTGACTTATGAAATGGTAATCATGGTGCCCACTTTAATAAGAAAATGATATTTTTACAAATTGTACAAAAAGTGCCGACTACAAAGGAGTCTATATCCTCCAGTGTACAGCCAGTCTCCATTATTAAAAATCCCAGTTTAGCCAGGTAGGGATGGCTCATGCTTGTAACCCTAGCAACTCAGGAGACTGAAATCTGAAGGTTGTAGTTTAAAGCCAACCTGGGCAGGAAAATCCATGGGAGAGTCTTATGGTAGAGCACCAATCTTGAGCTAAAAAGCTCAAGGACAACACCCAGGCCCTGAATCCAAGCCCCACAACTGACAAAAACAAAAACAAAAAGTTTATGGCAGATGCCAGTGGCTCATGTGTGTAATTCTAGTTACTCATGAGGCTGAGATCTGAAGATTGCAGTTCAAAACCATCTTGGGCTTAAACTCAGGACCTGGGTACATCCCTGAGCTTTTTTGTTCAAGACTAGCACTCTACCACTTGAGCCACAGCTTCAGTTCTAGATTTTCTGGTGATTAATTGTAGGTAAGAGTCTCATGGACTTTCCTCCCTGGGCTGACTTTGAACTCTAATCCTCAGATCTCAGACTCCTGAGTAGCTAGGATTATAGGCATGAGCCACCAGTGCTGGTTTACATTGTTTGTTTTGTTTTGCTTTAATTTTTTTTTTTTTTTTTTGGTCGGTTGTGAGGCCTGAACTCTGGGCTTGGGCACTGTCCCTCAACTCTTCAGCTCAAGGCTAGCACTGTACCACTTAAGCCACTGCACCACTTCCGGCTTTTTCTGCTTATGTGTTGCTGAAGAATTGAACCCAGAGCTTCATGCATGCAAGGCAAGCACTCTACCACTGAGCCACCTTTCCAGCCCCCTTAATTATTGCTTTTAGACAAGGACTTTATAGCCTGCCTAGGCTGTCCTCAAAGAAGTAATATCTTCCTTGTTCAGCCTCAGGCATGTACTACTATGTTCACCCTCTTTGCTTTTATTTTATTTTACTTTGGTTTGTGCCAGTACTAGGACTACTTAATCTTAGGTCCTGGGCATTGTACCATACCTTTTTTGCTCAAGGGTAGTACTCTACCACTTTAGCCACAGCTCCATTTCCAGCTTTTTGCTAGTTAATTGGAGATAAGCGTTTCACAAATTTTCCTGCTTTGTCTGGCTTGAGATGGATCAGTAGATTTCAGCCTCTTAAGTAGCTTGGATTGCAGATGTAAGCCACAGGCACCTGACTTGCTTTGCTATTTTGAAATTGAAATATCTTTAGAATAAAGTTCAGCTACTTTAAGTGTATATAGTTCTGTGCTATTAATTAATGGTATATTCATAGTGATCCCAACCATTTCAGAACGTTCTCATTCTTTTTTTTTTAATTTAATTTTATTTTTTTGTGAACATACTGTACAGAGGGGTTACAATTACATGGGCAGGATAATGCGTACATTTCTTATCAAGCATTGCAGCCTCCTCCTTTGTTTACCCTTCACATCCAGAACTTTCTCATTCTAGATGTAAACTCTACCCATGAAGCAATGATGCTCCCCTTCCCATATCTTCCCCCTCAACCTCTAATAACCTTCCTTCCTTCCTTCCTTCCTTCTTTCTTTCTTCCGGTAGGTGGGCTGGATTCCAACTCAGTACCTGATGCTTTGATCATTGGCTGGCACACCTCCAACTCTTGATAACCACCATTGTTTCTATGGGTATGACCATTGTAGGGATCTCATATAAATAGGATCATATTTGGCCTATGTCTGGCTTATCTGACATCTAGCCACTGTGTTTGTGGAAGGTATGGCCTGCCAGAGCTGAAATGGTAGAATGTCATCTGGGAAGAGGTTCTGTCCACCTACCAACATGACTTTTCTCTTTACAGGGTGACAAAATAGTGCAATGCTTTGCCTTTGAACTTAGCTGGGGATGTGGTTTAAGAATAGAAAGACTTTCCCAGGAAAAGTGGACAAGTAGCTGGAGCATGTGAAAACATCACTGCAACTACTTGATCATTGAGCAACTTAAAGAAGGGACTAAGAGCACTTAGATGCCTAAGCCTTGGGTGTAAATCATGCCTTCAGAGGGCTAACAGAATTAGGAGAGCTTAGAATTTAGTCCTAACAGCTGTTCCTCAGGCCAGGAGAGACAGCACCCAGAACACAGAGCTGACTGAGTTACAGAGCCACCATAAATGCCCGGTGCTTTCCTCCCCCTCCCCTATTTCTCTTACAAAACAAAGGTTATTATCTGCTTTAACCCTCCCCACACCTAGTAGAGGGAAAGGCATGTGCTAGAACAGGTGGGAGGGAGGGTGGCAGACAATAGAACACATGAAGAATGGCTTTTTAAATGTCTCAGTTTTAGTGCCAAATGCAGAATGGGGTGGGTGGGTGAGTGGGCGCTTGAGAGGGCTGGGATAGTGTTTCTTGGCCATCCTTCAGATCAGACAAGGATCAACAAATAAGATTTCAGTTTCTGCATGAAAACAGGGCTCCAGTTTGTTTTTGCATCAGGCAGAAGTAGTTAACCCTCCCCCCCCCCAACATTTAACTAAGGGACCAGGGTGACAAAAGAAAAATTACTCTGGTGTGGGCCCCATTTCAGAATGACTTGGAAATTCTGGAGAGCCATGATGAGGTTAGCCATTTTTGTACCCAGAACTGGATATCTGATTACAATTTTTTGCTGCTACTAACCAAGAAAAGGCCACGGATGCCATCAGCTGTTCCCAGAAATTCACATCCCCTGGGAGCAGTCACTCAGCCCCGTGTTCTGTGAAGAAAGATTCTTTCTCTGCAGGAAATGCTTCCCAGCTCCTACGTTTTTCCTCCAGTTTCTGTCAAGCTGCTTCTCGGGTGTGGCCACTTCTTTTTCTTTCCACTCCAACGGAAAAGGAAGGAATAGGGGAATCTTACCTTGCTATAATGGCCACAGCCAGGGCAGCTTAGAAACCAGATTGCAGATCCCAGGGCCAGCAGAAGCAGCCAAACAGCAGAGAACCATTGAAAAGCTCCGGGCTGGGGCTGGGCCTGGGCCCAAGTTCTGGTGCAATGGCCAGTGCTTTTATGTTTACTTAAAGAGCAAGGCTGCTTGGTAACCAGGAGGCTGAGGCCTTCCTGAGCTGCAGAACAACAGTCTGCCTGACTGCACAGGAATGAGCTGGGTATAACTCCCAATGGCTGTGACCCAGTTGTCCTCAAAATGGGGGAAGGGAGAGGGGAAACATCTTAACAGATAAGGCTTAAGGAACAGAAATTACAGGGAACTCATTTTTTCTCATGTCAGAGCCCTAGCATCCACCTGTCTGTAATCCTAGATACAGAGAATTGCAGTTCCAAGCCAGCCTGGGCAGGTAAGTCCATGAGACTCTTACCCGAATTAATCACTCCCAAAAAAGCTGGAGTTGAAGGTGTGGTTCAAGTGGTAGAGCATTAGCTAAGCGATGGTGCCCAGGCAGAGTTCAAGTCCCAGTACTGGCACCAAAAACAAAACAACCAAAAACCCAGCATCTACCTGTATCATAATACCTCCTTTTCTACTAGAAAGCAGTTATTTCTAATTGTTTGGGTTCAGATCCTAGGTTTTCTGATTGCTGCCTACCTGACCTGGGATGCAAGGCCTAGCTTCTATGTCAGGATGCTCATTTAGAAAATGGGGAGATATTATCCAAGTATTTAAAACAAAAACACTACCCGGAGGTGCTGGGAAGGTGGCTCAGTGGTAGAGTGCTTGCCTTGTATGCATGAGGCCCTGGGTTCGATTCCTCAGCACCACATAAGCAAAAAGAAAAAAGCCGGAAGTGGCGCTGTGGCTCAAGTGGTAGAGCGCTAGCCTTGAGCTGAAGCTGAGGACAGCGCCCAGGCCCAGAGTTCAGGCCCCACGACCGGACCCAAAAAAAAACAAACTACCCGGAAACGGTAACCCATAAAATGCTTAGTGTGCCTGATACACAGAAAAGCGCAATTAATTGTGGGAAAAGCAGCCTTAATGTCTTGTGTATAGATTAGGTCTGATGTTCCTCCTCTCTCCCACTGGGGTCTAGGGACAAAGCTTTAAGAAATGATTAATTCTACCAATCCTGAAATGACAGCCTTATGCCTCAAATTAGTTCCTCCCCTCCCTCCCCTTCTTGATCAGGACTTGACCTTTTTTCTCACCACTGCCTCGGACACAAAGCCTCAAACCACCCCGGTTTACTTGACCCCAACCCCCACCAACGCCAGGCTCCTCCTGGACAAGTAAGCAGGAAAAGCAGCCTTCGGTGATCTCACCCGGGCGACCGGGCGTTTTTTTCCGGCCGGCCCGAGCCTGCTGCATCCTCAGGCCAGACTGCAGCCCCCGCCGCGCCCCGCCCTTCGCCGCAGTCCTGGAAGGGTTCCCGGGGGTGGAGGGTGCGGTGCGCATTCTCTGCAGGGCGGGCCGGGAGGGGCAGGATTGGAGCGCCCGGGCTGCGGCGAGGGCGGGGCCCGCCCGGGCGGCGGGGCCGGCTGGGGCGGAGGGCCCCGCGCCACTGCGCCACCGCCCCAGCCCTGGCGCGCTCCCTAGTTCCTCCCCCTCCCGCCGCCCCCGGTTCCCTCGCTCATTCCCGCACCCCTCCACCGCCCCTCGCCCCCTCCCCGCCCCGTCACTTCGGCTCCTTCCGGCCACGCTCGGCTCCTTCCGGACAGCGGTCAGGCGCAGAGCCCTCGGGAGCTCCGCCCCCGTCGCTCCTCCGGCGCTGCCTCCCACCCCGCGCGCTGCGCCCGGGCCCTTCCCTCAGGATCGCGCCCGCGCGCCGCGGGAGCGCGCAGGGCCGCCTATAAAAGAGGCGGGGCGCGCGCGCCGCCGCCACTACCCGCTGCGGAGCGAACCGTGTGGAGCGGAGGCCGCGGCCGCACATCGGTCTCTCAGCACTCGTCAGCCCGGCGCGCCCACGCCCTTCATCCCCCCTCACAGGAAGCGGTGAGGAGGGCCGGGGGTGGGAGGGCGAGCTCGGGGCGGCCGCGGGGCCCGGGGCTGCCCACTCGGCAGCGGGGCGGGGCCGCAGGGCGGACAGGTGAGCCGGGCGGGCCTCCCCGCTTCCTCGGGCTGACGGAGGAGTGAAGAGGACCTGCCGCCATCGCCTTTGTGGCGCGTGGGCTGCGGGCGGCCGCGGGGCCGAGCCCGGGCGCGGGCGCCGGAATGTCACCGACGGGGGCCCGGGCCCGGCCCGCTGGGTCCTTCGCCCGCCGGCCGCCCCGGGCAGCTGCGGCCCCGCCCTGCTCCCCCGGCCTCGGCAGGTGGGTGGGGGGCCCCTCGCCGCGCCCCTCCCTGCAGAGCGGGCCCCTTCCCGGGTGGGGACCGACGTCCCCCCCCCCCCCACTCCCCGTCTCCCGCACCCGTTCGTGCGATGCCCCACACCCCTTGAAGAGGAAGAGCCTAGCGCGTAGAGCAAGGGCTCCTTGATCGACCTTAATACCATTCTGTATGTCGGCCTTTGGCCTTCTCTGTAGCCGCAGAGAGGGCTGAAACTGACTGTCTCCTTTTCTTCCCCTGTAATAAACATATCCCCCCCTCTCCAGTTGTGATCTGCTTATAAGCAATCAGTATAGATGGGCACTTGCTTCGTGTGAGACCCAAATCAAATAACTTAATGGCTTACAGTGCTTTAGTCTGGGTCTTTCAAGACCAAGGCAGTAAATTATTTGTCAGTTCTTCAACCATGCCAGTGTGGGATGATAGAGCAGTCTTTTGTTTGCAAGCTGCCCCAGCGATTTGATTATGCTTCTCAGATAAAAATGCTTTCAAAAGTCTCAGGTACTGAAATAAAATGTATTTTAAATAAAGGGCTTGGTAAGGTTAAATATACTTTAAATGAAAGACAATAGCCCAGAAAGCTAGGGTGAGGTGTTTCTGGAACTGTTACAACACCTTGTCAGATCTTTTTGTGTAGTTATTTTTTTTATTACTGTTTATTATTTTGTTAGTTTTTTTGTTACTTATTTTGAGACTAGATCTCACTATGTAATACAGGCTGGCCTCGAATTTGAGATTATCCTGTCTCAGCCTCCTGATCCTGAACGATCAGATCTTTTAAAAAAGATTATAAAATAGATCCTAAAATATTTAAGTCCTTTGTCCTGTCTTAATGGTATTTTAGGAAAAAAACAACCTTTATGGCAGTCTTGGAAGAATAGAGGAGAAACCGAATATTTTCATAGTGTGTTGAGAAATTGCGTCGTCATAGCAATTGGACTTAAATGAAACAGAATGTATCAAAGATGGAAGGGTGGGGGTGTTTTGCAGCCAAGAAACGAAAATCTTAAGAATAGCAGCAGGAACAGTCAGCTGTAGGAAGCCAATGAGCCACTGTTCCCACTTCTCAACTAGTCATTTATTTACTGTCCATCTCATTGCAGCTAATGGCTTAGATTTTAAAAGGTCAAATTGAAGTCAAAGTTTAAAAAATATGCAGCTGTGGGACATAAAAATGTGCTGCAGTAAGCTCTCCGAGGGAAATTGCAATAAACCTTTTTCAGTAACTGGGCCAATATTACTCAAAGGGACCTTCAAAGTATGTTAAGTGGTATCCAGGGAGGGACCTAGGTGGAGAGAAGAGAAAGGAGAATTTGCCCTGCACCAGACAAGTATGTGACAGTTTTTTTTTTTTTTTGCCCATTGTGTGGCTTGAACTCTGGGCCTGGGCGCTGTCCCTTAGCTCTTCAGCTCAAAGCTAGCGCTCTACCACTTGAGCCACAGCACCACTTCCTGCTTTTTCTGCTTATGTGGTGCCGAAGAATCAAACCCAGGGCCTCATGCATGCAAGGCAAACACTACTACTGAGCCACCTTCCCAGCCCTGTGACAGTTCTTTTGTGTGTGTGTGTGTGTGTGTGTGTGTGTTTGTCGGTTGTGGGGCTAGAACTCTGGGCTTGGGCACTGTCCTTGCACTCTTCAGCTCAAGGCGAGCACTCTACTGCTCGAGCCACAGCGCCACTTGCTGTGACAGTTCTTTTACTAAACCATCAGCCTAATTTATTCTCTGATTGCTTTCTGACTCCCTCCCTCCATCTTCCTCACTTCCCCCCCCCCCCCCCCCCCACCAGTTGTTGGGCTTGGGCTCTGGGCCTGGGTGCTGTCCCTCAGCTCTTTAGCTCAAGGCTAGCGCTCTACCACTTGAACCACAGCACCACTTCCAGTTTTCTGGTGGTTAATTGGAAATAAAAGTCTCATAGAGCCGAGTGCCGGTGACTCATGCCTGTAATCCTACTACTCAGGAAGGTGAGATCTGAGGATCATGGTTCAAAGCCAGCCCAGGCAGGAAAGTCTGTGAGACTTTTATCTCCAATAAACCACTAGAAAACCGGAAGTGGCGCTGTGGCTCAAGCGGTAGAGCGCTTGCCTTGAGCTGAAGAGCGCAGGGACAATGCCCAAGTCCAGAGTTCAAGCCCCACGACATAAACAAAAAAAAAAAAAAAAAAAAAAAAGTCTCACAGACTCCTACCCAGGCTGGCTAGCTAGGATTACAGGTGTGAGCCACCAGCGCCCTGCTCAGCTTTTCCTTAGTGATTGGTGCTCTACCATTTAAGCCATACTCCAGTCCCCTCCCCCACCTTGTTTTTTTAAGAGACAAGAATTTTCTATGTTGCATAATGAGGTAGCCTTACACTCCTTGACTCAAGTGATTTTCCTGCCCCTGTTTCCCAAATAGCTGGGACTCCATGCTGGAGCTCCTGAACCCAGCCACATCCCCCCTCTCACTCTTTCTCTCCCTCTCCAGGAGGGAGGGGGGGCTTGAACTCAGTGCCTGGGCACTGTCCCTGAGCTTTTGTGCTCAAGGTGAGCACTCTACCACTTGAGCCACAGCTCCACTTCCAGCTTTTTCACCAAGTCTCATAGACTTTCCTCCCAGGCTTTGAACTGTGATCCTCAGATCTCAGTCTCCTGAGTAGCTGCAATTACAAGTGTGAGCCACCAGCGCCCCACTCCAGCCATTCAATATAATTTTGGTCTTGGCAGCATGCTTTATAGTAATTTAGTTATTATAGAAATCCAGTGTCACAGGCT